TCATTCGTCGAGTCAGTTGGCTCGTCTAGCTCTCATTACGCGACGCCACTTCAACAGTTGTGGCTGAGTCTGTCATTTAGGACAGCTGAGAGAACGGAGTAAGCAGGGTTTCCACGAGACTCTTTTGGATTATTTATATATGAATCGAATGAAACCACGACGTGGTGACAAGATATTCACCACGCGCGTAATCCCCACATAAAACACTGCGTACTCGCTTCAAACCATAAAAGTCTGCGTCACAGAACGATTGCCCATATCGAAAAGTGAACGGACTCTTTTTTCCGTACAAATTAAAATTTGGGATGGTGAAATGTGTGTTGACTTTTTGTATTAGAAAGGCTTACGATATGTGGCAGATCACGCATCCTCATAACAGACTATGCGCAGTTGCTATGTCAGCGCAAATATTAACTTCTAGATATCTCGTGCTACAGAACCTCATGGTCACTTGCACTTTACTCTACACCCTTGCCCTTTCTTCTCATCTCCCTGCATATTGCTCTGAAACTACTATATTACAGGAATTGTCACGCGCACGAGCCAAGTTCGATTGTTCTGTGTTGCAGCTCTATGTGCCTTATCATCTTTATCCACAAATACTATCGACCATTAGCCGAGCATAAACAGGTGGTCAGATGCGGAGTGCTACATGGGCTAACTGCAAGCAGTGCGCGGGTTTTGTGTTTCAGTAAGCTATTTGCAAATGTAGACAATTGTGACTTTTTGTGCCAGCAAGATCCCATTGCTAGGTTGTCAGAGTCAGAAGTAGCATTTTATTGCGAGATCAAGGTCATCGTGCGATGAACAAGGCCATTGATTCAAGGAGGCTAAGAAGACCATGAGCTGGTCAACAACAACATGCACTTTACAGTGCAATTATTTCGCAATGGATCGCCTTCTCGTCAATTGTCATTCAATTAATATCAAATGAGCCGGATGCAGCAGCGAAAGCGATCATCTAGACTGTTAGGAAACATCTATGAGTGTCTTAATTCAGGCTATTTAAAATCCAGTGATAGTCATGACCGCGTAGATACATTGAAGTCTTGCCTGCTTAGAGTGGCAAAGAAAAGGTACCTACTTCGGGACAAGGAGTTATCTGCCATGACGTATCCCTTGTCAGGTTCCTGACATACCCGCTTGGTCCAAAGTGAATTGCGACTTTGCGTCATTGGGCACAGCAACGTCATCACAAAATCTCTCACCGAGAATGGCAATTGATTTTATTTTTTTGACAAAAATGTGATAAAAGGCCGGACGACTTAATGTGTTAGTGGGTGTGCTTTTGCTTCGACCCGACTGAAAAATGTCGCAACATGTGCTACACTGCCGAAAAAAGGAGTTTGATAGCCTTGATATCGCTGTTGGGATACTAATATAATTTTTATCGAAGCTTACTCTATTTCAGCACTGACTCAGTGGTTGACATTTCCTCGCGTTGGAAGCTTCGGGCACAGAATATTGTAATCGAAACATGATACGTCTCTGGGCGGCCACGTTGAAAAACAAAAGACATTAGGGTGATTGAGCGCTATGAACTGGTGCCTTGGGAGGAAACGGCTCATGCTAATTCTTGTCAGTGGAGATACAGCCAGGCCGTTACGGGAGAAATAGATTCTGTCAAGATGACTCACCAGTGGCCTTTGTATCATGTCAACGTTAAAATTGAAGCTAGGAGTACTTTAGACTGGTCATCAACAGGTGGTCAAGTCAATCATGTGTTGTCATAAGGCTTAAAATAATTCATCAATATTTGCACAAAAAAACCATTGCACTGACGCAAAATGCACCCACTGATTCAGTTTGTACATACCACTACAGTGCATACCCTCACACGCTTTACATCATCTTGATTCGACAGTCAGCTAAACCCCTAGACATTTTGACATAACCACAAGTGAGGTGCAGGAGGGACCGTCTGTCCAACTAGTGAGGTGCAGGAGGGACCGTCTGTCCAACTCGGCTCACTCCCTTTATTTATAGCAAAATTACACAGATTCTATGTCGACAAAGATATGCGTAATATATCACGTGCTGGAGACTACGATCAATATTCTGGACACTTAAACAACATACTAATGTCAGAGGCAGGCGGAATCAAGATGCTGTTTCGTTCTTTGGGACAAAACCACTAGTCAATCCATGATCGATTACTCTTTGTGCAATTAGCCCACGAAACCTAGTAAAGCATCCCAGAACTATGAAACCGTCGGCGCCAGAACAAATCTCCATGTGTTAGCAAATATCTTGGTTGAGCGCATAAGCCTGAGCACAGCTTGCATGAGGATGTTCACATCCGACTCTTTGTACTCTAGACACGACGCAACTCTAGATCCGGTGTTTCTTTTTGCGTGATAGGGCTCTCAAAATTATGTCAAGATATAACAAATGACGATTGGAGACAGCGTTTCATTTCTCCCGATTAATTCGCAAGTGTCCATGATTTCGGACCCAAGCGAACCAATGCGGTGATTACTGCTTCTAACAAATCAATTAACCCATGAGTGAGACTCTCCTAGCACAATAAAAACTACGACGTGGCAACAAAGAGAATCCACATTCTCTAAGTGCTAACCTGTTAGCCTAGTTCAGGAGCTCAAATCAGTTTGACGTGAATTCGAGGAGCTTTGCTGCTCCATTTGCTTAGCGCGTCGCATAGTGGTGCTGACCCAGCGGCACCGTTATATCTTATATCTTGACAGGGGTAGCCCATATATCAGAAATTATGTGATCTGCGACTGACAATAGTTTCTTACCACTGCTCATGTCGTGAGGAAATCACGGCATTATGCTGTTCTTAATCGTCTCCTCCTACTATCGCTCACGTTAACGCTCCACTCTGTCGTTCTTAATCATAAACAAATTTGAAGAGCCATATCTTACGGCTGTAATCAAATATCTATACTCGCGGAACACGCACTCAAACGTTCGTCACGCTGTCAGCAACTGCGATGTCATGTCACATACGTTTGTGGTTCGCGTCGTAATGTCGATAATTTGTGTCTCATCGATATGAACTTTAGCTACTACAATATGCAGTCGTCGCCCCCCCAGTCTGCCTTCTCTTAACTCATGGTATTTCGCAATAGGTTTTTCGCAATAAGCATTGCAGCTATTCGGACAATCCCGTGTCCTGCACCAAGTCTCTTTCAGTTATATGCTGACACTCCAAGCGCTTATAACAATGTGGATCACGACTCAGCAAAGTTTCCATATGTACAAAAATGCGACTGCTTGATTCGGTCATTTCACGGCTCATTGTGTTACAGCATCGCTATACCTGTCTCGAATCCAAATTGGAACCAGGCAGCTCTCTGCGCTGTTGAATTTCTTAAATTTGACAAGAAGGATCATACGTATTTTGGCATCCTGAAATTGCATAGATCTACATATATGTTAAGCATACTCAGCTGATGCTTGTCGCGAGACTAAGGTAGTTTCACGACGCTACTGAACCAATCATAACTATTTACCCAGAGCTTCATAATTCGGGGACGTTGAGAATATCAGCCAGCAACCTGGTCTGTGAATTGCGCCTCGCATCTAGAGACTCGCTTTCATTATGGATAAACCTATAAAACAACAGACATAAAAACTTTGAGTTACATCCAAGCCCAGGCTTTACGACGACACACACTCGGAATTTTCTTGTTAGAGGTTTGTTAGCTGACCTAGGTTGGAAGCTCGACCCTCTAGATCTGATAATCCAGCAAGGAACGTGTATTTGTTTGGTATGCCACATATGTACCATGTGTGAGAAGCACAATATCACTCAGCAGCTATAAGATCGTTTTTATTTTGGTTGGGGTCCATTGCCTCAAGACGTTTCTGCGGCTACTATTGCCTTGCTCTTCCCATGTAGCAAATGCCTCTTCTAGAGAGCCACCGCGCGAAAGTGTCCAATCACGCGCGCGTTGTGGACCGTACATTTGCTCTGATTGGCGCATAGACGATCTTATGACCGTCCTCAGTCGCAACCCTCAACGGACTTGCACGCTTGGGAATCGAATCCGCTCTATGTGATTTATTTATCGTGAAGATAAAATATTTCTGGAGGTATCACATCGTAGCTGGTGAACTCATTGATGCGAGCGGATAATACATCTGGCTTCTGATCCTTCAACTGTTTTATACCTATGAAGCTCACAGTATCAGGAAGCTTGTGAAGCATGTCGAGTTGTCAGTGTAGCGGACATGCGAAAATAGCAACTTTCATTTTTAAAGCGGATACAGTTGGTCGTCGTATTGACGGCAAGTGCTACAAGTGCTGAACAAATGAGCTTCACCTCGCACACAAATTCCTTTGGCTCAAAGAGGTTTCGATGGTAACGCATAGAGTCTGGGTTTGTACGCTCTACACCGAGAACATTTTGAGTACCTAAATATATATTTGCTCGTCCAATTTAATAGGTGACATATATAACATTTATTCCTTATTTAAAGTTTATATAAGTGTGTTAATATCTATAATAACATTACCTTATTTACTGCATCACATGACGCTAGAATTCCACGTGTCCCGCGGACCTTTCCATATAAAGGAGATACATCACTGTAATCCGTTGCAAGTACAACGCAAGATAGTGGTACCTCTGAGCCTCGCTCATAGTATGAGGGACATCAGTGTATTACCAGGTCCACAGGTGTATGTCAGTAAAATTGTGGTTATACTGTGAAGTTAACGTCAAATACAACATCAATCCGGCGAAAATCAGGTGAAGCTGTGCGTTGGGTACCGTCTTGATAATCACTAGTATAATTTAATGTAATTTAATTGTTTACAGTTCTGCGCTAGCCTACGGAAACTTCATGAGAGTTGTGGTTGGTAAATTCAAGATACAACTTAAACAACCCACGAGACACTA